TTTTAACACAACCTTGCTATTATCGATTTTTTGAAAATTCAAAATTATGTGTTCTCTAAATGTTTCGTTATTCATGCACAGAGCGGACGCAGTTGAAAAGCGCTCTCGAAATTTATTTGCGCAAATAAATTCTGCTATTTTCGCTTGCTTCAAGTTTATACAGGGGAAAAAATAATTTTAATCTTAACTTTATCCCGAGCCTGAGTGTGAGCCTTACATGAGTTCAAATTCCCGCTTCAACCTAATTTTAGTCGAATCTTAACCCTAACTATAATCTCCCTGGAATTTACTACAGGGCACCCGTAATACAAACGTTTCCCGTTCGGTAGGGCCGAGAGATTCCAGCTTATTGGTTTCAGAATGAGTAGTTTAAGTACTGTGGGGTTGTGTTTCTCCAAACTTCCTCCCTAGAAGGGAAGATATTTCATCATATGGAAAGGCAGACTTTCCACGGAAGTGACTCATAGCTAAACGACGATAAGGAAATGAGATAAACAGCGTTTACTTTCACTATAACACGTAAAACAGTAGATAGTAAAAGTAGAACAACAATATAAGTGTGAAGCGGGATGCTTAAGTCGGAGCCAAGAAGACGTGGCACACGCGAAACGGGATCCAACGGCAAAGGGTCCTAAAAACCGGAGTAGTTTCGTTCACAACCACAGTAACCATTTAAACAAAACGATCGTGTTCGGTCTGTTCCAAGTGCGCACTACTGCATCCAAATTACGAAATCAATGACAAATGTGCATGGGTATAATAAATGGCTGACAATCTCAGTATTTCTAGTGTCACATCATTTCTTACCCAGTTAGAGTAAAAGCGTCCTTGTCGAACAAAACTTGGAAATATGGGAAGCATCAAATTATAGGTGCTGAAAACGGATTTGAGCCCGACTCCTTGTGAATGTTGTTCCGAACACATTGAATTATCTTTGGATGTCCTAATGCACAGTAAGTGTGGAGACCCTATTAGTAAAAGTAGGAACATAAGTACTAAATGAGACTAA